GTTCATGGGTCGGGCCGGAGACATGTTGAGACAGCCCCATGGCCATCATGGAGGCCATGAAGTCCTGAGCCGCACCTGTCAGACCAGACTCGGCATGGAGATTGAAGTCCCCCAGGACCAACATCCTGGGGGTCCTCAACACCAGATCTGAGACGGTCTCCGTCAGCTCAGACAGGAAGACTGTTGGGCAGAAGGGTGCACAGTACACCAACAGAATCCCCAGTCTGTCTCGTTTGCCCAACACCAAGTAGAGGCACTCCAGCCCTTGTAAATTTTGCAATGAGAAGCTCATGATCTGAGCCACAGTCAGCTCCTTGTCTAGTTTTTACTGACTGTGTAGAGCTTCTCCATCTTTGGCTGCAGAGCACATAGTCAATCTGATTTCTGTGTTGACCGTCTATGTGTAGAGTCGTCTCTTCGGTTGTTGGAAAAGAGTGTTTGCTATGACCATTGTATTCTCTTGACAAAATTCTACCAGCCTGTGCCCTGCTTCATTTTGTACTCCAAGGCCAAACTTGCCTGTTATTCTGCTTATACTTTGGCTTCCTACTTTAGCATTCCAATCCCCCATGATGATAAGGACATCATTTTTGGGTGTTAATTCTAGAAGGTGTTGTAAACCTTCATAGAACCAGTCAACTTCAGCCTCTTCAGCACCAGTGGCCTGATAATAACTGCATTTGCTAAATGGCTTAAGAGCATGGCAGTAATCCAAATAAATAAGAGAGATGGCAGTCCCTGTTGAATAGTCCCCTGCACAACTCTGGAAGTAATGGCTGAAGTGGATTCAAATCCCATAGATACTTCTTTAGTTCTACAAGAGAGAAATTTAAAGAGGAGAACTGCAATGGCTTTGTATGGGAATGGTAAAGGAAACTCTCTTACAAGTGCAAAGCTAGAACAGCTGGATGACTCTAGTGTGTGAAAGCTTATACCACAATAAACTACACCCAATTTTATATACATGGAATTCTGTTTGTGCTACAGGATTCCACCACATGCTTCTCCCCACATGCACTCTAAGGGCTATTCAAGAGTATTTTCCAATCTTCCCCAGAACATAAGTTGGGGAGCATGGGGGAATGCAGGGGGAGGGGGAATCTATTTTGCCAACTGTTTTCACTGCATTGCCACTGGATGAACATCACTGCATGCAACCTTCAGTCTTTAAGATGCCCTAAAATGGTTCTTTGTTTTTATTCAGATTGTATAATCTGACACAATTGCAAGCTGAGGTTTATATGTATCTATGGCACCACTTCTACAATAAAGTTTGTAACAATTATTTCAGATTTTGCAATGCCTTTTCAGGAACTGGGCATGAAACTTAAAAAAAAAACCAAAAAAAACCTGTTTTGCTTTTTCCATCCATGGGGCCCTCAAAGTGACTCGCAAAAACATACAGGGCTGCAATTCCTTGGAAAGCATTTCTGGCTAGATAAACTCAATTGATTAATGGAAGGAAGAAAGGGGTTTACTTGAACACCATGGTCTCCTACATCAACCTCCAACTAACACTGAGTGTTTCCTAATATTTCCTTCCTAATGTTCAAGTGTTTCCTTGAGCACTCAAGCCTAGAAGTCTCCTTATTTTAAAGTAAAGCTGAAATTTCAGGATTCTGAGCAAGCCACCCAATTTCATGGAAGGGACTGTTGCTTTCTCTAAGGCAGGGGTCTCAAACTCAACTTACCTGGGGGCCGCTGGAAGTAGAGTCTGGGTGAGGCTGGGCTGCATCAAGTATTCCACCACCACGGTGGTGGTGGGCTGCTCATCCCGCGGCCGGCTCAGGCGCCACCGGTGCTTTGAAGGGCCCCTCCCCCGTGCCCCGCCTGTCCCGGCAATTGGCTCGCGGGCCACGAGTTTGAGACCCCTGCTCTAAGGTTTCCTAAAATCACCTGAAGTAAACCATAGACAGAGGATTGTGCTCCTGATAACTTATTCTGATTGATCTGGTTCAGGAATACGCTTAAAATGTGCACTCTGAATTTCCAGCATGCCAGACAGAGTTTTATAGATGTTAAGAAGTACCTGCAAAAGGATCTTATTGCCGTCAGGATCTTCAGTTTGCCATCTTCCCTCACTGATCAGGCTGCAGGGATTGGGAAGGACAGGGACAAGTTGCCCAATATCTTTCACTCGGAACTCCAGCACCGCCGACTCTGTGGGACTTGGGACTTGGCCCCTTGGGAGTTTCTTTAAAGAGAGCTGAATATCGATGTCCATATTGGAATAGAGAGGAAACACACAGAAGTCTGCCTTTGTCTGACAAACCCGTCTCTTCAGAATTAGCTCGTAGAATTTCACCATGCTGGCAAAGGTTTCATTCCAGCAGTAGATGGTGAAGCGTATTATTTCTTTTCCATAATGCACTGGACGGATGGCCCACAACAGAGTGCCCTGTGCCAAGGTGAAAAAGTCCTGGCTGCCTGGCATGTAAGGGAGGAAGTTTCCCCATACTTGCTCTGTGTGGTGGTAATGCCAGGGTGCCCTCTGGAAGGCCTCATGAAGCTGTAAGACTGGCTCTTCATCGTAGTCTTCTTGCAGAAAGAGAATTACAGCAAGGGCTGGCTGAGATGCTGCAGCCTTGCCAGGGTTCCTAAGCTTCTTTGGTACCCGCCTTTCTGAAACCTGGAAGAGTTGCAGATCTGGGTAGATCCATGCCAGCAGGTTATTGATGGTATGCTGCAGAGCACCGGATTCTCCTGAGTCTGCAATTATGTGTACACTGACAAGAACAGGATCGTGCACTTCCTCCCCAGAAAGTTCACCTTGAATGGAGAGGGGGAAAAGATCAGTTTTGTAAAAAGTTATTTCTGTTTTGGAATGTTTTTAGGAAGCAATTTAACATTAGGTAAACCCCCTCCCCCCAAAGTTAACCCCTGCTCCCACCCCTACCAATCATCATCATCTTCATCATCTGTACCAAGCTATCCTTGCCAGAAGTTTGGATCCCAAATGAAGAGCTCAGTCAGTGCCTGCCATCATACATGTCTCTGAACCAGACTAGACTAGAACCTGCATCTGTTGAGCCTGTTGTGAACATTTTAATTTTAATTCATGTAGCCAACATGTATTGAATAGGCTGAAAGAATAAGCCGATTCCAACTACCTTTACTGAGGAACTGGAAAGTTCAAGGAGAGGGAAGGGTGAAAATCCATCTTTCATAAAAATATGTCAAGGATTCTAAGAAACACCTCTTGGATCTCAGTATGTTTAGCCACTGGGACCAGCAGGGACAATTCCGTCCTCAAAATGTGCAGGTTTGCTTCGGCATGAATGGGCAAGTGGGGCTGTAGCTGCTGATCCTTCTGCCGCCCCCCCACTCACTGGGGCTGAAGGTCTGAAGCAAGACTTGATGCTGCCTTCAATTTCCAAGTGGTGAGGCAGCACCAGTTGCAGGTTTTGGAGGGCCCTTGGGCAAGAGTCCACCCTGGCTATGGAATGAACCCCCAAAAGGTGCCCTTGGTACCTACTGCACATGCATTTTGGCATCGGGTGAAAACCTTTATATTTTCCCAGTAATTTAAAAGTTTTAGTTTTAATATTGCATTGTATCCTGTACTGCTGCTATTCCTCTATGCTGATTCAGTTGTGATAGCTGTGGCTTTTGTTGCTTTGTGTTAATTTTTGTTGTTTGTGTGTGTTTTAACCTTTAACTGCCCAGAGAGCCTTGGCTATTGGGTCACATTAAAGCAAATAATAAAGGAAGGCTCTCTCCCAGTGCCCCACTCCTCCAGTGAGTCTACCTGTTCACTGCCATTGTCACCAGCTACCTTTGCTCTTCCTCCTGCTCCTCTTCCTCACTGTCACTTGCTTGCCTGAAAGCCAGAGGGCAAGCAGGCAGTGCTGACTACCAGTCCTCTTTCTTTGCACCCCACCCCTTGGGCCAGAGAGAACAAGCAAGTTGTAGGGGTGAAAAAGAGCAGCAGATCCAGGGGGCTCTTTCCAGTGGGCCCCAAGCAGGTGCCCAGCTATGCCTGCCCTTGACGCCACCCCTGGGTTCTGGATGGCACTGTGAGCTTATGTGCCACCAGCTTCCTGCTTCAGACCCTCTGCCTGCCTGAATGCATTGGGAGCAGCAGGACAAAATGGTTCATGAGAGCCATTTGGATAAAGGGGCAGGACACAAATCTAGTAAGTAAAAAAACTGTTGGAGACGGGTCAAAAGGGACAGGGCTGGTGATCCATGCTCTCCATGCTCTATTGATAGCTCCCATTATCCCCAGCCAATCCAAGCATGAGTAGGCTGTATCCACATGTTCACTGTGTGAAGGCCATGACCTTAAGTGGAAAAAAGCTAAATTCAGCAGAGCTGGACTGGACTGTCACTATAAAGGTTGAATAAGAATGGAGCCAAATGGATTCCCTTCCTTGTTTTTTAGGACTCAGGGGTACTTTTGAGAGCTGCCCACCCAGCCCGCACAACTCTCATGAAAGCAGCCATAGGGGGCCATCTCACAAAAACAATTAATTAATAACTGTACTCCACACCTTCGACCTCAAGCTAATCCTATTCTTCAGGCGACCTATACAGGCTCTTGCATATATTGTATATACTGAGATTCCAGGGTGTTCGCGTGTGTTTGTGTGCATGCTGTGAGTTCACTGGTTCTTTCCACGTGGGCAGCATCTCAGGCACAGTCCCTGATTTATGGGCACTGGCGGAGTGCTGAGGGCATGGTTGCTGCAGTGGTTATTTTTGCAAGCTATTTGTATTTTCTGCTTGTGTATTTTTCTCCTCCCAGCTGAACACACATTGGATATGGCAGCCACTCTACCAGGATGAAAATGTTTGCTCTGTTAGATAAAATGAATGGCTTCTGTGTCACCAAATGAGGGCTTTATTTTAATTTCTCTTTAGACAAAGGCAGTGGGAAAGCTACAGTTACAACTTCTCATGCTGACTTCGTTCATTCTGACCTCTGGCAAACTGTCAGCAGAGCAGAGCAGAGCAGAGCTCTTCCTGCACTGGCTTCAGGCTTCCTGCACCAATGGTTAATACTGCAGAAAACAGCACAGTCTTGATATGCCTTTTTTCAAAGTCCACAGTGTAGTTCTTGCTGTGTCTGTCCAACTACTGCAAGACTATATTTGTATAACAGCAGCGGATTTTTCAAAAGACAAAACACCTAAGCATGGGAAAGACAAAAGCACAGTTTTGGAAGGGTTGAGGGCCATTCTGCACAGGAGCTCTCTCTCATGCAGGGATCATTGCCATGCAGGAGAGATCAGGCACATGGACCAGGCAGCCCAAGCTTCCACAGACAAGGTTTGGGAAATTGTTTTGGTCACCATCGTGCCATTTAAACCCCTAGCCGGTCTATTGGCTTTTTAGAAACCTTTAGGAAGAAATGTCTTCATTGTCTTTTTCAACATCATCATCTACTGCAGGAGTGGGGAACCTCCCTCATTCTGATCACCAAACTCAATTTTTGAGATGCTCTTGGGCACTGTGCTCCAGTGGTGGGCAAGCCAAAGGCAAAGGGCCAAAAATATATAGAAAGACAAATAATAGCATATGAAAGCTTAACGCCTCTACTGTCAGCAACTGTCACAGGAAAGCCATTTCTACCTTTCAGATTGCTGGAAACCAGCAAATGTTTGGTGGTTGGGCAAGCGGGCAGAGCCTGGGCAAGTGGGAGAAGTGACCAGAGGACTCCCAGAAGGCTGGATTGGCATCTCAAGAGAGCTGGATCAGGGCCATGATTCTCCATCTATTGCGAACTAAGCCTGAGGTCACATTTGAAATTCTAGCCCTATTCAGTCATTCATAATCCAACAATGATCACCTAGGCTTGAATCTGGACCCCTCATAGTGGGCTATGACAAACTGTGAGAGTCAACAACCCTAAAGAAGTGAAACAATGTAAGATTCTACATCCACAGGCAAACCAGAGTTCAAAATCATTCCTCTTTTACATGGGATGGAGATTAAAAGAAAACATGGATAAAAGTGGGTGGCAGTGAGATTCCTGCCTGTCACTTTAGTGATCTGCCACAAACAGACAAGGCTTTGGCATGAAACAAATGTGTCATTCCCATCAGTATAATTTAAATCGTTTGCAACAATTAATTGTCTTTGCATGTCTTGGACATTTATTTCATGGTGTGAGTTGATGTTTTTGAATCCTGGACTGTCCAACTGAAGAAATTTGGGAAGCCTCTAAATCTGGCACACACGTTGAAGCTAAACTGGAAACCAATTTCATCTGACACAGTGGCTTCAGCAGTCTCACTGGGCTGCATGTAGGTCAGTAGGAAAGCCTCAGGTTAGATTGTCCTTTTGTGTTTGACTGCTGGAGCCACTTTGACATGTGTCACAACCACGGAAAGAAGGAAATCAAAAAGGAGACAGAAGCTACTTTTCAAAAAACAATGAAAGCACTCCAAAATGGAAATGACCCAATATATTTCCAACACAGACTGAATTTTCAATTATAGCACAACCACTTTCTCAAAGTATAAAAATAACTGAAAGAATAATAGTTAGAAAAGAGTACCTAAATAAATTTTTAAACCTCACAACTGTATAAAATAAAAGTATTATTCTTTGGGGCAGTGAAGGCTGGAGATATCAGTGCTAGTGGAACAGCGAATTCAAGCTCTAGCTTGAACTTTTTATTTATAATAAGTTTTATTCAAAATAACCCTAAAACAAAAGAAAACTAAAAACAACATCAATCATCAGAAACATCAGACCTGCTGGGTCAGCCCCTACATTTTTTTCTATTTATGATAACTTAAAAACATATTTAAATCTATATGAAGTCCCGTTTCTCTAGCCAATAATAAAAAGAGTCCCAAGTTTGATAGAAATCAGTATCTTCTTTCTCCTTCAATGACAAAGTCAGTCTATCCATTTCTGCACAGTCCAAGATATTTTTAAGGATCAGTTCATTGGTGGGTGGTTCTTCACTTTTCCAGTGTTGAGCAAATGCAATCCTCGCCGCAGTAATTACATGTAAAATCAAGTACATTTCTTGTTTACTAATATCAACAAGTATAATGCCTAATAAGAAAAGTTCAGGTTTAAAAGCTAAGGATTTTTGTAACATTTCCTCAAGCCATTTATGTATTTTAATCCAATACTTTTTCGCATTATCGCAAGTCCACCACATATGATAGAAAGTACTCAATTTATGTTTACATTTCCAACATCCATTTGACATATTTGGAAATATCTTAGCTAATCAGAGGTCTCTGAGGAGTCGCCAATGCCACCGTCTGGTCCAAAATTACTGGAGGAATTTCAATTATTGCGGCCCAATGATGTGGACAAGGTGCTTGGAAGAGTACGCCCCACCACTTGCCTATTGGATCCTTGCCCGTCTTGGTTAATAAATAACTCCAAGCACGGGATTGGGACCTGGATCTTGGAAGTGGTTAACGCTTCTCTGAGGGAGGGTCGAGTGCCTGCCCCTTTAAAGGAGGCGGTAATACGACCGGTCCTGAAGAAAGCGTCACTGGATCCAGAGATGGCCACTAACTATAGACCTGTGGCCAACATCCCGTTTCTGGGCAAGGTGTTGGAGCGAGTGGTGGCGGGACAACTCCAAGCACTCTTGGATGAAACTGATTATCTGGATCCTTTTCAGTCCGGCTTCAGACCCAGGTACAGTACTGAATCTGCCTTGGTCGCCCTGTACGACGACCTGTGCCGGAGAAGGACAGGGGGAGTACATCCCTGTTGGTTCTTCTGGACCTCTCGGCGGCTTTCGATACCATCGACCATGGTATCCTTCTGGATAGACTTGCGGGATTGGGGGT